AGCTCAGATTACCAGCGCTGTGTCCGATTCGTTCACCTTGCGGCTTTTGTGGGTCGAGTGCGGTTGACTCTATTCTGCTCTGCAGTCTGTCGGTCCGTTTGCCGATCACCCACGCCGAGAGACAACCTTTGCGCGCCACAGCAGAGAAGCTACTAAGCACTGAGATGTGGAGCCGGCGACTGTTTTGTCTCGTATGCGGCGTCGGCTGTGCTCACTCAAGAGCAAACATTGAGATAAAAGCAATAGCAAAGCGAATGCATCTCGGCGACAACAATGCGAATGCGACAGGTTATCGCTGTGCTTGCATGTCATGTGCCTGGGCCTCGCTGGTGATAAGGCCAAGTCGCGCTCAGTCGGGCAGAGCGAGTCACGGGACTATCCCGCGATAAGYAGGATGCTGCAGTGGTTAGTGAKGCTGTCACAGTTCGTATTTTACAATGGATTTTTATTAAATTAGGCAGAAAAAGTATTTAGCTCGGCAGGCGAAACCAACTAGATAATTAAAACTAAACACGGATCTGGATGAGACATCGATGAAATTCGCATTTGTAATTTGGTTGCATACAAAAACGAGATGAAGGCAAAARCAACCAATAACCATTGCCACGATGTGCCCTYACACCAGTTTCTTGGCCTCGAAGAAACTCTTGAGATGACGCATCTGCCAGAATCCCATGCAGACGAGGACCACAGTCTGCGCCAGCGACCACCAGAGCACACGAGAGTTGGTGCTCTCGCTTGTGTGACGGAAACGTTCCTCGCGATAGCGCTGATAGTTCTGCTCCTTGGTGATCTGTTCGACCTGGTCAAGCAACTGGCGAATGCGTAGCTGCAGCTCGGTTAGCTTCTCTTTTTGTGCCACATTGGCATAGTCGATGGCATGCTCGCCCACCTGAATATCGAGATGCACGCGCAGCTGGGCTCCATTGAACCAGGCGGTGCTATTGGAGTACATGCAGATGACGTGCTCGCCGGGAGTGTGCGAAGTGAACGACATTCGTCCCTGGGAGCTGTAGACGCGCGACAGGATCACTTTGTCGTCACTATCGCGCACCTCTACGTGCATGCCAATGCCCGGCGAGGATGGCATGAATCCATTGGAGCGTGGATCATACAGCTCCACTTTGTAGTTCACTGCAACACAAATATAGATATCAGTTTCTGAGCCACCAAATTATTATGCAGCTTACCAATCACAGTTGTCTCATCGGGCACCTCCTCGATAAAGCATTTGCGCTCCGTTTCCGATATGTGAAAGTATAGGCCACAGGCGCTGTGTAACGCACACAGCACGAGGGCAAGACAGATCCATTGTTCTCGCATTTTTTTTTTTTTTGGAAAAATTCCACTTGAGCTYCAATTATTTGTATTATAAAAACTAAGCTCGCCGACACGTCATGAGAAAAAGGCAAAGTGGCTACATTGACAAATTCCCATTTGACAGCTGCGAAAGAGTTGCCACTTGGCAAACAAAACACACAC